AAAATAAAAAAAAAATTTGAAGTAGAAAGACGTAGATAATAAAAGAAATGGGGCCAGGGAGACGGCCTAGCAGGTCAAGGTGCTGTTGCTAAGCCTGACAGTCTGTCTTTGATCCCTGAAATCCACATGGTGGAAAATGAAAACTGACTCCCTCACAATGTCTTCCAGCCTCCATACCTACACTGTGACATATACACGTGTGTGTGAGCACACACACAATAAACAAATGTAAAAGAAGTTTTTTTAAAAAAGAAAATGATTCTTTAAATGAGTTATACATACCAATATAAAAGCACAAACAATGTTTCAGGGGAAAAGCAAGGCACAGAGATACACAGCTGATGACAACATCTGTGTAAAGTTCCAAAGCTTGCAAAAAGGAACAGTGCAGTATAAAAACACCTCTGGTAAACGTACAAAGAAAACATGAGCTCATCTGCTACCACTTGTGAGAAATGGAAATGACAAAATGCAGAGGGATGAGAGCATTCAAATTTTTAAAATAAAGACTGTGTGTTCCTTATTTAGGCATTTTATGCCATTTGCATATATGAAATATTTTTAATAAAAAATAACAAAACTGCCAGGTGTGGTGGTGCACACCTTTAATCCCAGCACTTGGGAGGCAGAGGCGAATTCCAGGCCAGCTGGGGCTACAGAGAAACCCTGTCTCAAAAAAAAAAAAAAAAAAAAAAAAAAAAAAAAAAAAAAAAAAAAAAAAGCTCACTAATAAACTTGAAAGGTAAGAAAAGGGACTTTCTTGCTTGTCATAAAAGCAAAGTGTTTCCTTTTCTTTAACCAGTTTTAAGAGTTCAATATATTTTTAGTATAGCCAAGGGCAAATTCCACTAGCTGTCCACCCAGTTGAAAGAAGACTTTTCTCCACTGGGATAAATTCTCAAGCACAAACAAGCAACCCCTAGCTATCCGCTTAAAAAACAGACATGATTTCTAATGCTTAATGACATTACCTCACACAGGGTGTTTGTATGATACTTCTAATTGTGTAATGTATCTTTCAAATAAATACTAAATCTTTTAAAACTTTAACTTTACCTATAAATCAAAGTACTAGCCACACAAGGCTACAAAGTTCAAAAATAAGATCTTAGAGAACATTTGTAGTTAGTTCCACAGAATAGTTTGTGAGACTTAAACAAAACATAACAAGAAAAGATACAATTTTATACAACTTATGAATCATGTTTTTCCACTGAAAGTTATGGAAACCACTTGGAGACTTTTAGACAACCCAAAGAGTATATATTCTTTTTATTTTATTTATTATTTTTATTTTATGTGTATGCATGTATTGCCCGGATGTAGGAAAGTGCACCCGTGTTGTGCAATGCGCACGGGAGGCAGAAGAGACTGTCGGATCCCCTGGAACTGGAGTTATGGACAGTTGTTAGCTGCCATGTGGGTGCTGGGATTCGAACCCAGGTCTTTTGCAAGAGCAATCAGTACTCCTAACTACTGAGCCATCTCTCCAGCTCCCTATAGATTCTTTTTTAAAAATGTTTATTATTTTTATTTTATGTGTATGAGTGTATTGCCTGCACCCATGTCGTGCAATGCCTGTGGAGGTCAGAAGAGGGTGTCCCCTGGAGCTGGAGTTACGGATGATTATTAGCTACCATGGGGGTGCTGGGAATTAAATCCTGATCCTCTGCAAGAGTAGGCAGTGCCCTTAACTGTTGAGCTATCTCTCCAGCCAGGTTATAGAATCTTAAAGGCAGCATCAGGTATTACCAGTTCAATTCATTCATTCCACAGACATGGAAATGGGATATAAGAAAATTAAATGACTTGAGCAAAAACATGTCTAGGAGAATGCAGTCTCCCACTCTGCCCTCCATTGTTCTTTCCAGGGCACTGCACTGAGTCTCTTGCAATATGACTATGTAAATATGCAAAGAAGCCTGCAATGCTTCAAGTTGCTCTGCTCGTAGATAAGCATCCTTGGTACTCAACCCATTTTCTTCCTGGTCCATTAAGGCAGTCTAACATATCCACATCAATCAATAAAAATCAAAATTACACTGAGTTTCTTATTCTTTTCACTTATCGTGAGTCAGGAAGTCCAAGAACATGCCTGGCATCTCACCCGCTACCTTATCAAATCTCCTCAACTGTATCCAGGGAGACATGGCCCTACCTTTCCTTAGCTATACACTATTAATCTATGAAAAGATAAGCCTCTGTCTATTATAGACATTGCAGCTCTCTCCATCTCCAAGCAATCTCAGATTCTCTGGCAGACAAACAATAAAAACAACAGAACAGGGGCTGGAGGGATACCTCAGAGGTTCAGAGCACTGGCTGCTCTTGTGGAAGAGACTGGGGTTCAGTTCCCAGAATCCACATGGTGGCTAATAACTGTCTGTAACTCCAGTTCCAGGGAATCCAACTCCCTCTTCTGATCTTTGCAGGTATTGCACAACATGGGTACACCTACCTACATGCAGGTAATATACTCATACATGTAAAATAAAAATAATAAAATATTAGAAAAACAAAAGAACAAACATAAAACTATAATACTGATACATACAAAGGCTGTCTTACATTTTCTAGACTCTACCTACATAGCATAGGATTATTTTCAATAATGTCTTACATTTAATATCTATACTGAAGTGTTTTTTTGGTTTTTAAATAAAATAATGGATCCAAAAAACTATAAGGATTTATTATGTAATTTATAGCAACAGAAGACAGCCATGGCCAAAATAATGATTGCTGTAGGTATTTATGTATATGTGAATCATCTAGTACGTTTCATCTTAAGATCACATGATAGCCCAGGAATGGTGTTCATACATCTGAAAGCACAATTTTTGAAGTATTTCTATACTGTGTCTGATTCCTCATCTTACAGAGTGCTTAACAGCCCAGTCTCAGTACAAGAACATTGCCTGGCATAAAATAGACAATAGGTACTGTGAGAGTATGTTTAAAGTTTCCTGTCATTCCAAAATTTCAACTATAGCTCAGATTTTCAAACAGCTGAAGTGAAACATTGAACCAGGGAAAGCTGAGTCCAGAACCCCCCTGAGTATCTGCAAAGACAGAAGCCAAGTGCTGTCTGCGCGCTTCCTAAGTCATCATGTCCACGTGCGCACTTTGCAAACATATGGGTATGCCTTTATATTCAAAACTGAAATTCAAATTTTTATAATATCTTTTGTTGTTATGCATTTTCTCAGTCAACAGCTACTAAAAGCACAACCACTAGCATATGGAAGGCACCTTATTTAGAGAGTAAGAAATTATTCTTAATACTGCATTCTGTATGTGAACACTTCACTTTATCCAAATGTTAAGAACAATGTACTATCTTTTAAACACAGATTCAGGACAGAAGCTGGGCCCTGAGAACAAATTGTCTATCGTCACTCTTCCTGTTTTGCTTGCAATCCTCTCTATGTGCCACAAGCCTCTACAATTCATGTAAATAAAGCCCTCACATGAAAGGAAGTCCCTAACTTTCTTTCAGCCATCAATAACTTGTCCTAAGGTTTCCACATCACTCCACAACTGGATAATCCAAGCAGACAAAAGCCAAGCAGCAATGCTTTTCCAGTCTACAAGGGTGAGAAGTCAAGGGACAGCAGCCAGGGTGGCCAACTCCGATGTGTAGCAACCTTGTAGGTAACAACTGATAACAAACAAAGCACTCTTTTACAGAAAAAGAAGTACAAGATGGAGTGAGGTGATGGTTTGTTTTATTGTGTATTTTAGGTTAAGAAACTGTCAAAAATTATTTTAAGACAAATACCCTGACCATGGCAGTGGAAAGTACCCATAAAAGACAGAGACAGACAGCGAACAAAGAGTGCGCCATCTGGTGGAAATTTTATCTTCACCATCACCCATCATGGAGAGGATGAAAGGAGGAACAAGGAAGGATGCAAGACAGAATATGTGTGAAGGATTAACTGTAGGAAGTCCACATTACAGAGGAGAACTGGGTTTTTCAATGAGGAAAACGTTTAAGGATTCACTTCCTTATCTTAAGAACAGTGAGAAGACACAGAAGAAAGATTGAGCAAGGAAGTACTGGCAGCAGCTGTGCACTTTATTAAAGGTGCTCAGGATGCAGTCACCAGGATGCTTTCTGCATACATTACCTGTGGGTTAGAAAAGTGATGGTCCCTCAACACAGCAGCTCACAGCCAGGACGTCATATGCTCAGCAGACATCTTTTAAGGCCTCATCAAGTTCTATCTTCTTTCAGATGCTTTTCCTGTACCCCTCCTCTTACTGAAGACAACAAATGTTCTCTAGATTTCTTTTCAGCCCTCCTTACTCATACATGTTTTATTTCTAGCCCTGATCTATCTCTCTCCCTTTTCACCCCCCACACCCTCCTAGGTTCCAATCCCACACAGGATTCTACTACACACTTCCACAGGAATGTTGTATCAGTACTGCAAACACAAGAGATCTAAAACAACTTACTTTGCCCTGCCTACAAGCCTGTTCTGAGTTCACATCTCTCAATCACCCAGGCCCATCATCTTACCACCACCTTTTATTCAGCCCTTTCTTTTCCAATATCCAGTTATTTCAGCCCAATGCACTTCGGCAAATCTTCTAATCTAATGCCTGTTCCCTAATTCAGGTCTTCACTTCCTGAAAGACTTTCACAATGCTTTTTTATTCCTTCCATGACTTCTGTCCCAATTCAATTCATCCTGTGAACTGTTAGAACTACAGCCTATAGTGCAACTCTGAGAATGACATTTCAGGGACCCAAAACCTCCAATTTCATAGCTTATTAGCCCAATCCAAATTCTCTGTTCTAGCATTAAAAGCCTTGCATGTTCTGAGCCAAATCAAAATTTCCATCTTTGACTTTATTGTTCCACTATTCTTCTTTCTATCCACTAGGACATTTTTTTCTTCACCCCCCCTCCTCTGTCTGATCATGTGAATATTATGTACTCCATAAAAGCTGATTCCCTTTCACATGAATTTGCTGTAACCTCCCTCACCATGTCATTTCAGTTGATGGGAGAACTTCCTATCTTGTACATATTTGATCTTCACACAGGAAACTAGGTTATTCATGGAAAAGTCTGTAAAATAAAAAACAAATAAGGACTAAGAAAGAAATAAGGCCTAAAAACAAGTACTAAGTGTAACTGAGCTCCCACATTACCGTAGCAGCAGACATAAAGGTTTCAGAATGTTGTAGGTCAGAAACAACATACTGGAAAGAATGGGTGCTCAAAGTGCCCCTCCCCTCCTCCACTCCTTTGTGCTGGTACATCCTTTAATTCCAGCACTCCAGAGGCAGAGGCAGGCAGATCTAGGTGAGATTGGGGCCACCCTAGTCTACATAAGGAGTCCCAGGCCAGCTGAGACCTGTCTCAAAAACAAAAGTGTTCAGAGCCTTCTCAGAATTCCAGGTGACCCACCTGCCTACCATGGAGTGAAGATGAATACATATGAACTTAACCACAATCATGCCAGCTAAGGTACCAGACAGTATAAAAGGTAACAAATTTGCAGATTCTAAGAGATGAGGAAGGTTTCACAAAATATTATCTGATGAGGGGCCCTAAAGACTTCAACATTTATGAAAGAAAAGGTCTAGGCAGCAGGAATAATCTAAGTATATGAAGTCTTATTCCCTAAATGATTCCTGTTTTGAACATCTCTGTCATTTATACAGTCTTAATGAATTTATCCTCAAGAGCTATTTGAGCTCAACATTTTACTTAGTGAATCTCTTAAAACACGCAGATGACTGTCTGCAGTACAGATTAATATCAGGCAGGATTTTCACAATTCCATTGTGTGCCAAGCTTATATTCCTGAGTGTGACGTATACTCAGCTGACTGGTTACAGGCATCCTCTTCAGCTTTCCTGAAGAATGAACTGCTTGTGGCCTAGAGTCCAACTAAGGGTGTTGCCCCCTTTGACACACACTGCAATCAAGAAGAGATTATGCATTTTAAAGACCCATTATCCCATAAATATAATACTTAAAAAAGCAAACTTGGGGCTGAAGAGATGACTCAATGGTTAAGAGCACTGGTTACCATTACAGAGGACTAGGGTTCAATTCCCAGCACTCACATGGCGGCTAACAACCACCTGTAACTCCAGTTCTAGGGGATCTGACGCCCTCTTCTGACCTCTGTGGGAATTGCATGACACTGGTACACTTACACACATGCAGGCAATACACTCATACACATAAAATAAAAATTAGGTAAGATTTTTTCTAAAAATAGGAAACTCAAACTATCTACAGGCCTGTACTACATAGATAACTCTAAAATTGGAAGAGACCTTTGGGAGAATCTAGGACAACCATGTGACCCAAACTGTGTGTATCAGGTTTTTCCTCTCAGGAATTTAGTCATATTTAGTCTCATCTTGTGCTTGAAGCCAAGGAACACATAAATCTGAGTAGCCACATGCAACTGTAGAAAACAAATAACAACAAATAAAGGTAAAAGAACAATAACAACAACAAAAACAAAAACAGCCAGAAAACAGGAACAGTAAAGCAAATAAAGGCAAAGACTAGAGGCAGGGAATGTTCCGGGTTTTTATTATAGTTCACAGTCCTAGGTCCTAATAAGGTCTGTCTGCACTTGGCTTCCAATAGTCTTCCAATGAATTCCTTTCCTCCTTCCTTGCTTTCTTTAGCTGAAACTAGCTTAAGCTCATTTCTGTTACTTGAAACAGGCAATAACCACAATCTTCCATAAAGTCAACTAATTCATTGCTGGTCTACTTATACTTTTTTTCTCAAAAAAGTTTCAACATTTTACTTAGTGAAGTCCTAAAAACTTTTTTTTCTCTTAAAAGCCTCACATTTTCAGAACACTGTGCAAATGAGTATACTAACAGGAGTCAGGGACCATACTGAATATTTTACACGGAAAACACATTATGCCCAAGAAGGAGAAAATACAGGCCACTTAAGGTAAAGCCTTGAGTTCCACATACAAAGTTAAGAAATTCTAATAAATCCAAGGCAAATTAAATGTAAACAAATCAGACTCGTGGATGGATGGACCTGAGTCTTCTGAGAGGCAGGATCTGTGATACCTCAATCTGGGGGATTTCATTTGGAATGCTCCCAGGTAACTAACCACGGATTTCCTAGGCAAAGGAAGCTGTGGCTGGGATCTTTAACACAGACCCAAATACCCAAACCAAATTATCAGATAATAGATGGTGTCAGGGCTTCAGCTTACCCGCAAAGAGGAGGCAGACATTTACCCATGACAAAAGCAGCACTTTCTACCACTGAAGGGAGGAAAGGTACACATGCTGAACTTGAAGGTACTCTGTTGAGTATGTGCCTCCTTATCAAGACAATCCTGAGGCAGCCATTGACTCCCCAAAGCTGAAGCCACGCCCATCAGATCTGACTACCTATAGACCAGTTTAACATGTGTAGCAAGTCAGATTGCCACTCAGATGTTTGAAGGAACTTAGTAAGTGGCTCTGTAGGGTTATACAAACAAAAACAGTATCAAGATCATAGAGTCAGAAGGCATTTGAAGAACGAGCAGCTAAATGTGGATCCAAACCCTGCACTGTAATGTTATAAAAACAAAGTCAAAGGGACTGTGATAGATGGAGCTAGAAAGGGTTAATTAAAGTTGTTCTCTGATGGTTTAAAAATCTGTTTGATTAGTAAGTGAAAAATATATTAGAAAAGCTGATGAGTCCTAATTTGGGGGGTAGCTTTTAGATATGATTACTTCAGCAAAACAGCAAGGGATTCTGACCTAAGAGTTTTGACTTTTAGTTACTTAAACAAGCACCTTTAACAGTTGAAAGCTAAATGACATTGTATGCTGCAAACCTGACAGGGTTTAGGCACTGTGATAAAAATCTAAATGGCAAAGAGTAAGTTTAATATAAAAAAAAGTCAGACATTCACATAGGGAACTATTAAAAGCATCAGAAAGTAGACTGACATACCAGCTTGGTCTAAAATTAAAAACTGTGTTTGTAAATAGTCCCAATATAAATTTGGTGTTCAAAATCACTGGCATGGGACCACAGTACAGTTAATTTTGGTCTTCAAGGGTTGTTTTACCATAGGTATTAGGTAAGTCAACATATCACTGAGGCAAAAAAGAAAAAGCATCCATACATTCACTTCAGTACAATCAATTCTTTATTATCCAATCCAGCTTTTTGAAGTTCATTGATAAAATGTGAAGTCAGAATCTGTTGTTTTCCATGAAGCATTATTATAAAGCAACTATGAGAATATGAATCTATATTTCATACTCCTTTGAGTCCTTTTTAAAAACTGTATCTGGGAACAAACATAAAACTGTTGTCATGACTTAAATTACTATCTACAAACTGCACATTTAATAAATTTAAGTATCTGCCATTAATTCTAAGTAGCTGCTTTGTAAGTTCTAAAACCCTGAATGAAATTTCTTATAGATTAAAAACTTATAGATAAAATTGCCTTTTAATAACCTAGTTTTCCCCTTACACTGCAGAGGAGGCATAGAAGAGTCAGCTGTCAACTACTTTATGTGTCCTAGTTAGCCAAATCTCCTTTTGACAGTTTAGTCCATTGACGGCAAAACAATAGCCACCTAGCATCTAAATAATCTCAGCCCTCAGCAATTATAACTTGTCTTTCCACGGCAGACAAAATAAGCAAGTTTGGCGACTAGTTTACTACTCCCAAACATAAGAGCCCATGCAAATTCACATTTACTAAACCTAACACTCTAACTTTCAAATAATTGCTTTCTTGACATTCAATTAAAAAAAAAAAAAAAAAAAAACTCCCTAATATTTTCCACATGATTCAAAGAAAATTCCTTTAAAGCCTTATGTTCCGACTTCAGAATTACCACTTCTCGAAATAACCTTACAAAGGCAGGAACAGTACACTTCGTTCAGATAGTTTGACTTGAAATAGTCCAGTGGAAAACTTAAAATAGGCTCGATGCTTTTTTGTCCACTTCAAAACAAAACTGGTACCTTGTCACCTCGGGTTGGATTTTGGCCTATGAAATGCCAGTCGGCCGCGGGCGCCAGGCTGCTCCGAGGCCCAGATGCGCGGGTGTCCCTGCCCCGTGCGGACCCCTCTCCGCGGCGACGTTCCCACGCCCCGGCCCGTTATCCGGGCAGGCTCCCCGGCGGGGCGGACGGGGGCGAGCGGGGACTGAGACTCGGAGCCGCAGCCCACGCCCCCTGCCTAGCCCTCGGAGCCCTCCCTCGGGGCCCGCGCTGGGACAGCGTCTCCCGCGGCTCAGGTTCGCCTCGGGGACCGGGTAAGGTGTCAGCGCGGTGGCCAGCGGGGCGCGGACTCCGGCCTGACCGGGTTCCACGCCGCCCTCTGCGGGGGGCTCCCTGGGGCCCGCTCGGCTCTGAGGCCGGGGGATGCCGCGGAAGGCTGACGGCGCCTCCGGCGCTCCCGGGACGCGCGCTCGGGTCACACCCTAACCCTGCGGGGTTGGAGGGCGGATGGGACGAGACGGGGGAGGCGGACTCACCGGGCCCCGCGGCGGCCCAGGCCGCGGTCAGGCAGAAGCCGAGGCAGAGCGAGAGGGGGCGCAGGAGGGTCCGCCGCGTGCTCATGGAAGAGGAGCCGCCGCCGCCACCGCCACCGCCGCCGCCGTCCGACTCCCTCCTCCCTCTCCGCTCCGGGCGACGGACGGGGCGGCGGGAGGCATGACGGGAAATTCCTGGGCACGGGCAGCCGAGTCCAAATATGAGCATAGGAGACGAGCGAGGGAGGACCGGGGAGAGCGCCGGCCGCGGACAGGGCCCGCTGCCCGGGCGGCGACCGCCGCCAACTCCCGCCTCCTGCGCCTCCTCCAGGGCCGCCGAGTCCCTCGGGAGGGGAACCCTGCCACGGGACGTCCCTCCCCGCGTGGGAACCCGAGGTCGAGCCGGGAGCCCCTCAGAGCTTCCATCTGAGCCCCTGCAGGGGTGGGAGCCCGCAGCGAGCCGACAACCTATGGGGTGACGTGTCGAGTTGATGCAATGAAAGGGAAGAGGCATTATAACACATACAACTGCCGCCTGCATTTCAAGTGAGAGGGTGCTCACCACTGTGGGGTTGGGGGGGGGCTGGTTAACAGAAGGAAGGAAGGAAGGAAGGAAGGAAGGAAGGAAGGAAGGAAGGGACTAGCAGTTACAGCATGAGCTCAGCCCTCTGATGCAATGAAAGGGAAGAGGCATTATAACACATACAACTGCCGCCTGCATTTCAAGTGAGAGGGTGCTCACCACTGTGGGGTTGGGGGGGGGGCTGGTTAACAGCAAAAGGGCATCCCTTGAACTTCTCTTTGAACACCAAATATGGAGGCAGGCTGACAGAAAGTTTTCACACCAGCTAAATGCTTAATTTTACATCAACCTTTCTCCTTATCTTCAACTTCTATTTATCGTCCCCAACTCTCTCTCTCTCTCTCTCTCTTTTCCTTTTGTATTTATTGAAGCTTGTCCAAAGTGCAACTTTGAAGTTTATTCAAAAGGTGCTACCTCTCATGACCAAAATGTCAGTCCCAGATGTTTAATTACAAGCCCAAGGCTGTACTTGCCTGTCTTTGGCACTAACTTCATGTGTAATCGAATCCAAATGACCCTTAGCTTCTCAAGACAATGTAATTATGTCTTAATTACTATAGTAGATATTTTTCATTCAGACAAATGGGACAGGGCCTGGAGATGTAGGCTATCGTACAACTACGCAACATATTAAGACAGAAGTGATTAATTGATGCAAAACATTTAAGGGGTAAATGTCAAATAGATTTAGAGGGTGAATTATTCTAACATGAACTAAAGGGATGATAATTTGTACATCACACTATGCTTGAAAATGCTTTATTTGAAAGTCAGAAACCTTATTTCCAAACAAATTCAATTCTGGCAAAGTATTAAGGCCCATAAGCCAAAAAAGCAGTGCATTTGCAAGTGGCTGGCCCCTCTACCCCCCACAAACATCTGGTATTAACTCCCCCCCCCGTAAACATCTGGTATTAAAAATTACTACATCCCTGAGCTTGAGAGATGGCTCAGCGGTTAAGAGCACTGACTGCTTTTGCAGAGGACCCAGGTTAGATTCCCAGAACGCACATGGTGGGTACAAACCATCCTTAACTCCAGTTCCAGGGGAATCAGAAGCCCTCTTCTGACCTCCGCTGCATTGTAGGACATGGGTGCACTCACATACATGCAGGCAATACACTCATACACATAAATGGCACGGGTGCACTCACATACATGCAGGCAATACACTCGTACACATAAAAAATAAAAATAAAATATTTTTTAAAAATTACAGCCCACAAATTATACCCAACAAATGGATAGATTTCATTTTCATGCGCTAGTGATGACAGTGGGACTAAAGACAAATGTGTTGCAATAGAGCAAACAAGGGGGTTGAAGGGCTTGTAACACTGGAATTCAGCTGGATTCTGGGACTCGGACAGCTGGAGGGAAATAGGAAACTTGTGTATCCCCTCTCTTTCCTCGATTTTTTTTTGTTGTTGTTGTTTAATCTTGTATTACATAAGTACCTGTTTTTCTTATTTTCCCAGAGTCCTTTCCCCATAATCTAAATGTTTAAAACAAAAATAAAGTGAGCATAGCCATTTACAGACTGGAAGATAGGCACTCCCTACATACAGGGAAAAGCATGTTTCAAAGGATTGTAGTAATTATGGCTATACTTAAATTTTTTGTTTCTGGGACACGTTGGTAAGTAAAATGGAAAACCATAAGGAAAGAGATGCCATTACAAATCAATGCCCATTCATGTAAATGGAGAGTTAATTAGCTTTGCAGACTTCATCTTTCAAAAGCTATTCTAGGGGCTGGAGAGACAGCTCAGTGGTTAAGAGCACTAGCAGCTCTTTCAGAGGACCTGGGTTCGATTCCCAGCACCCATGGTGGCTAACAACCATCCGTAACTCCAGTTCAAGGGGAATCCGAAGCCTTCTGGTCTCTGCAGGCTTTGCACAACACTGGTGCACTTACATACATGCAGGCAAAGCACTCATACACATAAAAAAATAAAATTTTTTTAAGGTTATTCTCAATATTTGAATTATGTTAAGGATGAAAAAAAAACCCTCAATTTAATGTGTGTACAGTAAATGCCAGTCACTAAGTTTTACACCAAGTGTCTCACTTGAATCCTTACAAATATCTGTAAAATATCTTGTCCCTGTTTTTCAATTGAGGAGAGCAAGGCACAGGCATGTAGCTTACTAACAGAAGGGGCGAGGTAGTATTGAAATTCAAGCTTCAATCCAAAATGCATATACGCTTTACCTTATTAATAGGTTCTTTTTTCTTACTGTCTTAAAAAATGGAAGGGCATTTAAGGAGCGTATTTCTTGGGTTCTTATGGTTCTTAATTGGTAGGCACTCAGATTACCTCAGTACTAGAAATAAAGAACCCATGTAGAAACAAGACCAAAGATTTTAACTGGGTTATCAGATTATCCTCTCTGGGCCCGGAGGTGGGGCCTATACATACCTTTGAAAGCCTGGGGAAGAGGAAAGGTGCCACCTTCAGCCCATTATCATAAGAGATTTGTAACCAAACCATTAATATTTATTTTTTTATTACTTTTCTGTGTACTGCCTGCATGTATATTAGTGCACCCATGTCATGCAATGCCACGAAGGTCAGAAGAGGGCTTCAGATTCCCCTGGAACTGGAGTTAAGGACAGTTCATAGCCACCATGTGGTTGCTGGGAATCGAACCCTCTTCCTCTGCAAGAGCAGTCAGTGCTCTTAACTGCTGAGCCATCTCTCCAGCCCCAGCATTAATATTCTAACCATACATCTCCACAGTGCTTCCTCTGATGTCTTTTTCACTACAGCCTTGGTAACAATAGTTTCACTTATGTTTCTAAAAAATATTTAAATTTTACTTTGTGTATGAGTGTTTTGAATGTATATATGTATGTGCACCATGTGCCTACCTGGTGCCTGTAGAGGCCAGAAGAGGGTGTAGGATCCCCTGGAACTAGAGTTTCAAACTGTTAGCCACTGTAGGTGCTGAAAGCTAAGCCCAGCTCCTCTGCAAGAACAGCCAGTGCTCTCAACCCCTGAGCCATCTCTCTAGTCCTTCACATATTAAACACTGATTTTAAGGGGGGAAAAAAGTGGAATTGCTTCCCCTGCTTCCTATGTCATCACTCCCCTACCCCAATGGTGACATTTAACACCAGACTTAGGCCAGAGGTGTAGGGGGACCTGTTTGGTAGCATTAGCCAATTTATGTGAGGCAACTCTTCCTACCAAGCTAAGGGTCAGCCTTTGGAAAACACAGATGTACAGAAGCAACTCTTGGGGCAGGAGAGCCAGCTGTAGCAAACTCTAGTTCCAAGGCTTCATAAAGTTCAGAACCCAAGAATAATTTAAGTTGTACAACTGCAGCTCTTTGTCTCTCTACCTGCCTTCCCACTTGGGCTCTTATGACGACTCACTAAGTCTCTCCAGATATCTCATAATCAAATGCCCCACAGGGAAGAATCTGATTCTTTGACCATTCTTACAAGAGGCTATGTCTGAGTGGCCTACAGACACCACCCGAGCCAGGCACCTCTCCTAGCTCAGCTGTGACTAATCTGAAACCTCACACGCTACAGAATATTGCCAGCTATGCTAAAGAAATAGACTGTGGCTGGGCATGGCACACAGTTTATAATCCCAGCACTCTAGAGGCTGAAGCAGGAAGATTACTACAAGCTCAAGTCTGGCCTAGGCTATATAGTGAATTAAAAGCTAGCATGGGCTAGATAGCAAATCCTTTAAAAAAAAAAAAAACAGAAAAAAAAAGAAAAATAACAGACTGTGGTGCTGTTTATCAGGTTATACTTGGAATAATACGTTTCAAAAAGTGTGTATATATAACCACCCAAGCTACAACCTCTCTCTAGCATGTAATTCTAGGCCCTAGGAACTGTATGAAGCTTTGGGATTTCCCTGTCTTCACATACCCCAAAGGACCAACATAGATGCCAACTGCAAATGGAGCCTGGACACATCAGAACTTGATAGTGTTCAGAAGCCCCCAGCCAGAGCAAGAGCCCCTGAGTATTTAAATTCAATGACGTTTTTATCAAATTCACTTTATATATATAATTTTTATTTTATGTGTATGAGTGTATTGCCTGCATGTATGTGAGTGCACCCATGTCGTGCAATGCTGTGGAGGTCAGAAGAGGGCTTTGGATTCCCCTGGAACTGGAGTTAAGGATGGTTTGTAGCCACTATATGGGTTCTGGGAGTCGAACCTGGGTCCTCTGCAAGAGCAGTCAGTGCTCTTAACCTCTGAGCCATCTCTCCAGCCAAAATGCATTGCTTTAAAGCAGTTACTGATCAGCTGGGGGGTAAGAATGATACTTTTAGGAGGCCTATCTCTCTTCCAAGCTCCCTGCTTCTGTGTTCCTGTCTCAGGAAACAGAAAGTTGCCATTCTCAATCCTGGTGAGAAGTGTTCTACAAATGGAAGCGTGCCTTGTCCCTCAGTGTGTTGCAGTGGGAACAGAGCTGAAAATGAGTCTAAACATAAGAGACAGATACTGATGTCTGAAATCCACAAAAGAATGCCCCATCATGATTTTCAGCCGCTCAAATGCTCTAAACAGCAGGAACAGTCTGCC